CGCCCACCCCCAAAGCCGGTTAAGCCCCCCCCCCCCTCGCACCCATCAGAGCACCTGCGGGGAGTGGACCTCACACCCCTGGATCTAACACCTGAGCTGCTGTTGCAGGAACTCAGGGTCCAGGGCAGGGACCAGTTTGTCCAGTGGGGGGTGCTGAGAGCCCTGGAGCCAAACTGTGACCCCCCGTGTGGAACGGAAACCCCTTCCGGCCCCGGGAGCCCACGTTCTAGCCCTCCTGGTACAGGCCCAGCTTGAGATAGGTGTTTAGGCACCTACCGTCCATTGGTTTCAATGGGAACTGTGGGTTACTGCAGGGTGGATGTAAGTCCCGGGTGGGGGGTTACGGCAGGGTGGATGTAATGTAAGGAATACTCCCTTAAGTAAATGTCCCGGGTGGGGGGTTACGGCAGGGCGGATGTTAGCCCCGGGTGGGGGGTTACGGCAGGGCGGATGTTAGCCCCGGGTGGGGGGTTACGGCAGGGTGGATGTAAGCCCCGGGTGGGGGGTTACGGCAGGGCGGATGTTAGCCCCGGGTGGGGGGTTACGGCAGGGTGGATGTAAGCCCCGGGTGGGGGGTTACGGCAGGGCGGATGTTAGCCCCGGGTGGGGGGTTACGGCAGGGTGGATGTAAGCCCCGGGTGGGGGGTTACGGCAGGGCGGATGTTAGCCCCGGGTGGGGGGTTACGGCAGGGTGGATGTAAGCCCCGGGTGGGGGGTTACGGCAGGGCGGATGTTAGCCCCGGGTGGGGGGTTACGGCAGGGTGGATGTAAGCCCCGGGTGGGGGGTTACGGCAGGGCGGATGTTAGCCCCGGGTGGGGGGTTACGGCAGGGTGGATGTAAGCCCCGGGTGGGGGGTTACGGCAGGGCGGATGTTAGCCCCGGGTGGGGGGTTACGGCAGGGTGGATGTAAGCCCCGGGTGGGGGGTTACGGCAGGGCGGATGTTAGCCCCGGGTGGGGGGTTACGGCAGGGTGGATGTAAGCCCCGGGTGGGGGGTTACGGCAGGGCGGATGTTAGCCCCGGGTGGGGGGTTACGGCAGGGC